GTACACCAAATCCTATTCCTAGTACACCAAATCCTATTCCCAGTACACCAAATCCTATTCCCAGTACACCAAATCCCATTCCCAGTACACCAAATCCCATTCCCAGTACACCAAATCCTATTCCCAGTATGACAAAATATGTGGACTTGTTGTTTCTTTCTCAAACCAAACTGGGCTAGAACTTTCTGAATATTGGTATTGTTAAACTATTAATATTATTTTAAGATTTATGCAGCTTTGTCGGTTGAAATTTGTTCTTTCTCCTAAAAACAAACAAACCTGGGCCCAGTTGTATAAAGGGTGGATAGCGCTATTAGAAGGATAAATCCTTCTTCAGTGAATAAGTCGATGCTGTTATCCAATAAATTTATGCACTGGAAAAGTTTTATCCGGCGCCCTTAGGTAACACTATCCACCCTTCGAACAATTGGGCCCAGATAGTGATGTACACCCCTTGTACCACCAGGAACGGAAAATATAATTTTGCAATCAATCTATTTTTGTTGTTGTTGTTTTTTGTTTCGTGTTTATTTTTCCTGATTTTTCTTAATTTAAAATAAAGAGGAAAGAAAGAGTGAGTGAGTGAGTGATACTTTATTTATACTCGAAAAAAAATTCTATCAATATAAAAATTGCTTTACAAGAATGTCGAGTTAAATAAGAATACAATTTAGACAGCTAAAAAGTTTATGAGAGTCCAACAGAAGAAAGCTTTCTTTTAAATTCCCTTATACTTCTAGCTGACTTAATATCTGAAGGCAAAGAGTTCCATGCTTTTGCACCTTCATAGGAGAACGCACGTTTGAGGTACTCAGTGTTTGGTTTCGATAATTTTAAACACTTTTCTCCCTTCCGCAAATTATATTTTGTAGTTTGATACTCAAAGCGGTCTCTTAAACTTTGAGGTACAAGAGCATTCAAAGTCTTGTACATTATTGTGGCTTTATGTTTCTTCCGCCTGTTTTGAAGATTTTCCCATCCTAGAGACATTAAAATGTCGCGCGACCTAGTTTCATAATTACTCTTAGTTATAATTCGGCCTGCGCGATTTTGCATTTTTTGGAGTCTGTCAGCTG